TTCACACCAAAATGTGACTTCATTTTACAATGATTTCCTTATTTTAGGGAAACAATAGCGGCCTAAGTATTTCTCTCATCACAGGTTCCCTTTAATGACCTTACTGAAGCTTCCTGGGAAATAACTAATTAGAAATTCTGAAAGCTCTAATGACTGTCCGTCGCCCCGTGTAAAACTGGCTGCGTCAGCCTTGGCGTTTGATGCTGTTCAGGGAGAAAGCAGCCAAGGAAGCAGCCGAACATGGACAGAAATAACCATGGACAAGGACTGCAGCCTCAATGGGAAGAGATGCTGCAGTCCCCATCCATTTTAGCCTGATGCGGAGAAAAGCGTTTAGTGCTTTGCTCAGCACTCCTCTGTATTGAGCTATTTGTTAAAAAAAAAAATATTCTTTAACCACTTCAAGACCAGGTGTTTAGACCCCCTTCCTGGCCAGGCCATTTTTCAGTATTCAGCGCTGATGTTATATGGCTCATTATACCTGGTTGGTTTAATGCTAGCAGCCAAAAATATTTTTGGAGCAGCACATGCTTTAAGTCAAGTGTTTTAAAGCTTGTACAAAGACAAATGTGAGAAAGGGAGCAGGAATAAACCTTTTCCAGTGTGATATGAAAGAAGGCACATCAGACCTCCCTTTAGATAAGCATGCTCCCTAGGTAATCATAAGCAAGCCCGCAGAGCTGGTACACCCAAGAGGATGCCGAAGATGCCTTTTTTGATATGGCTCCGTACATAGACAGCCCTGTTCTTACAGAAGACTTTATCAGGATATAGAAAAAGATCTTTTGTTAACTTAATGCAGCTCTCAAACAACAACATGAGAAAGGAAAAATGTTATCTTTGATTTGTCAGGCTATAGGAGCTAAGGTGTTTCTAATGGCCTTTTAATAAAGTCATAACTCTTATAGGTCACACATGGCCAGAGACAGGTAGAGGTCTCCCCCAGAAAGACGTCTCCCCATCCTTTGTAGCGCTGGGACTTGCCTCTATTTCTTCTGATCTGTCTGATGGGATGAAGCAGCACGTGGTTTGGGTCAGACCGCACAGAGCTTTTTCAGAAATGTGGAAAACCTCTGTGAGTATTTATGGAAGCATTTATCATTGTTCCTTAAACATGCTGATCCTTTCATTGCAAACCATTTATGTCCTCTTTAAAGTGAACCTGTGACCAGGCTATGGACAATTCATCATTTAATTAATTATTTACATATGCTTTACGGGCAGTAATTGAGCTTTTAAAGAGCACTATCGCCCAACCTGTTTTTGCCATAGTTCCCTGTAGAGTCACAGGAGGACATTTACCATGTCCTCCTGTGACCCAAAGCTCAGCATCTAGCTGGCTATTGCCCACTATATGCTGACAGCGCAGAGCCGCACTGCAGCCAGGAAGGAGCCCGACAATATTGACCCAAAGCTCAGCATATAGCTGGCTATAGCTCGCTATATGCTGACAGCGCAGAGCCGCACTGCAGCCAGGAAGGATTCCGACAATATTGACCTAAAGCTCAGCATATAGCTGGCTATTGCCCGCTATATGCTGACAGTGCAGAGCTGCACTGCAGCCAGGAAGGATCCTGACAATATTGACCCAAAACTCAGCATATAGCTGGCTATCAGGGGTGTCCCGAGGCTGGCACCTGGGGGTGGAGGCCGGGTGAAACCCCGCCGTGACATCATCGCGAATGCACGTGACGTTGCAGCACGTGCACGATTACGTCATCGCGCATGCACGGTGCTCTTTTGACACCTGCCTGCGGCCATCCTGGTGATGGACGCCGGCAGAGAGAGGAGGGGACGTTCACCCGGCGGGATGAGTTATGCCGCCGGGTCCCCTCCTCTCTCCTGGCACTGTAGGGCTCTCGGTCTGACTTTTCATAGGTGGTGACACCAAAATGACAGTCATTTTGGTGTCTCCCCTCCAATGGTGGCACCCGGGTGCGGGCCACACCCCCCTTGTGACGCTGGCTGGCTATTGCCCACTATATGCTATTAGCGCAGAGCCACACTGCAGCCAGGAAGGATCCCAACAATATATATCGGGATCCACCCCGCTGCCTGCCTGACATCTAGCTCTGCCTCTCTAGACTGTGCCCAGTAAGTGCTCGAGGAACAGAGAGGGGTGGGGGGAATCCCTGCAGGGAGCGATGGCTGACAGTCCCCTCTCACTGCAGGGAGAAGATCGGAAACTCAGCGATCAGCGGTTTGTGTTCGCTCAGTTCCTGATCTGTAGAGCCGACCTGCGACAGCCTAAGTGTCTCACATTGACTCTAATTATGGGGATGAGTGTATTTCACTATCCCCATAATTATTCTTTAAGTCAAGCCGTCATTGACCCATGTAGCTGAAGGTACTGTGGAGTAATTTATCCTCACAGTTTACAGCAGAAGCACTGAATTAGCTCAAGTCCTCCTCAGCAGCTCAACTCCCCACCCTGCTTCCTCCTCTTAGTGAATTTACACTACATAGAGATCAGTAGTCTAGAAGGCTGCATAACCAGTGCAGGAAAAGAGGGTAGGGTGAGCACAGAAAGCTGAGCTGCTGAGTCAGTAATGGGAAGGGGGAGCTGAGCTGCTGAGTCACTAATAGGAAGAGGGAGCAGGGGGAGCTGAGCTGCTGAGTCACTAATAGGAAGAGGGAGCAGGGGGAGCTGAGTTGCTAAGTCACTAATGGGAAGGGGGAGCTGAGTTGCTAAGTCACTAATGGGAAGAGGGAGCTGAGCTGCTGAGTCACTAATAGTAAGGGGGAGCTGAGTTGCTAAGTCACTAATTTGAATAGGGGGCTAGGGGAGCCGAGCTACTGAGTTACTGCTGGAAGGAGGGAGCCGGGGCAGCTGAGCTCTCTGCTGGAAAGAGGGGCAGCTGAGATAATTACTTGAAGGCCTTCAGTGCTTCTGCTGTGAATTTGAGGATGAATTGCCCCACAACTTCTGTAGTTACAGAGGTCATTGAGGGCTCATTTTAAAGCCCAATCATTTATTCATAAGAATATGCAAAATACTTTAATGCCTATTGCCTTAAATACACTTTAAGAGTGCACAGAATGTTAAAAAAAAAACAATTGGTTAACACCGATGATAGAGCTGAGCTAAGTAGTTTTGCAGAGCTTGCTAAATGCCTGTGAAATGCTGTACAGAAG